TGCACAGGCGGTAGACTCTACGCGGTGGGAAGCAGCGTCCAAAACCGGTTGCACAGACCGTCGGTGTGTGAGCGGCATTGATTGCACTGCGAAAGAAATGATCGACTCTGTACGAGCTCTATACTTTTGTACAGATTCCAGGACACGCTCGATGCGTCTTGAGAAAGGCGTGCAGTGATGTGCTGAACGCAGCGCTGCCCAAGTGGGACAAAAACAAAGCTTGTGATCGTCAAGCGCCTCTTTTCGCAACGTTGTACAACGATGTTTGGAGGATGATCCCCTCCAGATTCGAATCGCGAATTGGTTGACTTGAAGACTTTTCTGCGAAGTCTCAGCGACATCCATGGACCAAAGAATACAAGCTCTGGCCAGCAGAGCCTTGATGGATTTTTACAAAGCGTTCTTGCGACGGTGCAATTCCTGTTCCAACAGGAAACAGCGGGAGTGATCAAGTGGTTGCCAGTCCATTTCGGAGCAGACTGACTTTCCGCCCCACGCGGAGGTGCCAGTACCTGTTGTCAGTGAGCAGCCAAAACATGATGAAGAACAGCATGATATGCTCCAATAAAAATTGGGCAAGGATGTACTGTACAAGTAACATGACTGATGATTGTACAATGTACAGTAGGTATCGGTTATAGCGTGGGTGTTTGAAAAACGACTTTCTATTCTTATTTCAGATACTTCTTACTCGCGATAAGTCAAGTGTTACATATCAGATACATGTGCGCAGATACAGGATGGTCATCATACATACAACGTATCTCTGCTGTGCATGCGGGTGTTTATAGTCCCTTACGCTTGCCATGTGGCTATGCAGCATGAGATACATGACAAGAACAGTTGAACCTGGAGCACTACAATGCAATGCGAGTCGGAGCAGAACTGCATTGGACAGATGTTATTACTACACTCATCTACAGGCGATACACTTTGTACCAATCTGGTATGTTTTGCTACACAAAGTCCATTCTTAGGACCGATATAATTATTCTACAATGCGATAACATTGCTTGTACTTCCTCCGCGTCATTAAAATTGTCACTGCGCACATCGCAATGTTTGTGACTTGGCTCGTCTTCCTTAGACTGTCGGAATCGCTGTTTTCTGTGTTCGAGCATTGGTGCGACCCTTCCTGCGCAATGTCTACTTGTTACTGAAGCCGCGGTGGTCTCGGACTTTGTCGGAGCTCTTTTCCGCACCAAGCAAATTCATCGCGCTCCGCACTCTTCCGCCCCAGAGCACATATCGTTTTTCTGGAGTTCGTGCCGTCCCATATCGTTCGCGTGGGTATTGATCAAGACTGCAAGCTCGGGTATAAGAATCCTGGTATCTCTCCTGAATACGAAATGCTGAAGTTGACGATGGCAAGAACAAAGTGTTCTCAAATTCCTAAAATGCGCTACTTGTGTCGCATGTTGCTACGAAGGTAGCAGGTCTGAAAACACCAACACAATTAGCGAAGCGCTTGCCAAGGAAAGAAGGTGCGGAACTACTTACTCTATCCCGCTGGAAGGTCGTTACAGTGTACTTGAAAAATGCTAGCTTGCCTTCATTGCCTGCCACCTGGCGGGATGGATCGCTTGAAAACGAAGTTTCTTTACCTGAATTTGAACGCACGTCTTGTTCAGCACATTGTTGAGTGCTGAAGGGCCTGCCCCAAACTCTGATGAAGACGTCGACCTAACCTGCAAGTGCAGCGAAGTGGGAGGCCACAAACTAAAGCTTGGTCCGTCGACAATGCTCTGCCTCAATTCTAGCTGATTTTTTTCCCTTCGAGTGGACAAAATAAATTTGAAAAATCGCTCTGGGAAGCGACAATTTTAATGACGCGGAAGAAGTAAGAATAAATGTTCACTTGAAACCCATGTTATAATTATGAAAATAGGAGAGTTCATTCTTGTAAGTAGTATATTCTTTTACACGACCACGCTATAACCGATACGCACTGTAGTAACTGAGCATGAGATACTTCAATCTGTATAGTGTAGGTCTGGAAGAAATACCTGGCATGTAATCATTTTGTAATGTTGGATAGCTAGGTGCGTGACATACATCATTACAGTCATGTGCACCATGTCATCTCCCCCGGCCGCGACCCCCTCAGCCAAATCCTCGACACGCCACTGCATCATGGTTGTGGTTATATGGGGGGGGGGGGGGGGGGGGGGGGGATGAATGCAGCCATTGACCTAAACTATATCCTATTCTGTGCACCAAGCGCTAAATTTGGTGCCGGCCAGCTTTGTAGGGTACCACTGCATTTGATCAACCAGATGCCAAGTGCATTTGATAATTGGGACCATTTGCAAGCCGTGAAACTGCAAGACGAATGAGGAAACTGTGTTAGAATCCCATCCTGACCACACGAAGCACACTGGTGTTTGATGAGTTCGGAGGGGTCTACTCGTCATGACCACAACGAGTGTTTTTTTTATTATTCCAGTGCGTGCGATTTCAACAAAGATACGGAGAATGCACAGTAAACTGCGCCTCTTTT